CTCACTTGGTAGCCCAGGCTGGCCTCGAACTCACAGAGATCCGCCTGGCTCTGCCTCCCGAGTGCTAGGATTAAAGGCGTGCGCCACCACCGCCCGGCCCTTTATCTATAGTTCTAAGAATACCAATAGTCTGACATGCAAAACTGCTTTTGGTGTTTGAAACCATGTCTTGACTTGAAGGCATTTTAAACTTGACCTCACTTGAAAGCATTTGACAGCAAAATCTGACTTTGATTGACCTAAAAGTTATTCTGACTCAGAATATTTATATAATATCAATATAATAATTACAGGGTTCTTAAACTATAGTCTGCTAGGGACATTATTTCCTATAGCATTGGTACAGGGACTGAAAATTATCCCCCCCCCCCCCCCGGAGCTGAGGACCGAACCCAGGGCCTTGCGCTTGCTAGGCAAGTGCTACCACTGAGCTAAATTCCCAACCCCGAATATTCTTTAAAAAAAAAAAAAAAAAAAATCTAAAAACTTTGAGTCCCAAAGCATACTTGAACCTAAGGCTTCATATGAAGAACTGAACTTGCATATGTTATCATAAAATTTTGGTCTTTCACTTTCATAGGTAAATAATAATACTTCTATACAGTTTAAATTTGTACTTTGTTGTGAAAATCAAGTATACTTTAAGTGTGTTTGATATTATTTTTCTAAGTTTTATATTAGTATTGTGGCTTTGTTTTGAAATGTGCATTGGTGTTTTGCCTGCATGCATGTCTGTCTGTCTGTGTGAGGGTGTCAGATCCCCTGAAACTGAAGTTACAGACAGTTTTGAGCCACCATGTAGGTGCTGGAAATTGAACTCACGTCCTCTGGAAGAGCAGTCAGTGCTCTTAACCACTGAGCCATCGCTCTAGCTCCAGTTTTGCTTAAAAAAAAAAAAAGTCATTAGCTCCTCCAGCAGGAGGAGTTGTGTGTCATCTTGCATCACTCTCTTCCTGCTCCTTTGAGGAAGGGTCTCTCCTTGCACCTGGAGCTTGAGTCTAGAATTTTTTGATGGAAGCCAGCAAGCCCCAACAATCCTCCTAACTCTGATACCGCAGAAGCAGGGTTACAGGACACTCATCTTGTTATATGGGTGGCTGTTAGAATCTTAACTCTGGTCTTCATGGTCACACAGCAAGTTTAACTGCTTTGCCATCTCTCTACCCCATAATTGCTAAAGTTCCTATGTAACTTGAAAACAGGAGGAGCGCTTTGCTGGTCATTTGTAGGCATACTAGGAAAGCAAACAATTTGAGTCACTGGATAAGCATGTTTCCAGCTGACACCAAATAAGGCAACTCTGTTTTGTTCCCCTCTTAGACTGCCCACAAGCAGCTGCCAGTACTGTGCAGTAGCATATATTCACATTTCTGTGTTTATGGTGGGGAACTGCACCATTTACAATCACAATGAGGAAGTGCTGTCTAGTGTTCTGAGGTGCCAGAAGATCTCCATGATGATATTATTCCTCATGGAGAAAGTACAGATTAGCTTTCTTCAAGTATGAGTTACACTTCAATGCTGTTGGCTATGTGTTCAAAGTTAACAAATCAACAATGTCAATATTAAGTAAGTCTTTAAATGAAGTTAGGTATTGATTAACTGATGAAAATATGACTATATACTTATAAAAACCTAACTTTCTATTTACCCTAGAAATGATGATTCACTAATTCTCTAGTTCATCATTTGTACAAACTTTGTAGAAAGAATCTACGACTACCTCAAATAGTGAGAGGTACATAAAGTAATATATTTTGGCTAAAAAAAAAAATCTACAGGGTATCACTTAAATAATTAAATATTGGCCACTTGTTAACAGACTTTAAAGCTAGGTGACAGATACACAAGGGACTCTCTTTACTATTCTCTCTACTTTTATAGACATTGAAAATAGCCATGTAGTTTACAATATTCAATGTTGCTTACATTTTCTCTTCTGCCTTACATCCATTTTGTTTTAACTGAGACAGGGTGTCTTGCTTTGTAGTCCCATTAGTCATGAACTTGGCAGTCTTCTAACCCAGCCTCTCAAGTGCTGGGTTTACATGTGTGCTAACAAGGCCCAGTCTATGTGTAAGATTTTAACTGGACAGCATTTTAAAAATTCAGACTGTCATTTAATCTTAGTACTCTTTTTTTTTTTTGGTTTTTTGAGACAGGGTTTCTCTGTGTAGCTTTGCACCTTTCCTGGATCTCACTCTGTAGACCAGGCTGGCCTCGAACTCTGCCTGCCTCTGCCTCCTGAGTGCCAGGATTAAAGGCGTGAGCCACCACCGCCCGGTTAATCTTAGTACTCTTAAGTGTATCAAAATATAAAGATTTTCCCTTATCATCATTATTTTAGAGTTTTTGAGTGGGGGAGGTGAACAAGGACCCACCCTGAGGCCTTGGCGCCCTGACCTGGAGCTTTCTATGTGTTCAGGCTGGCACTGAACTCACAGAGAGCCTCCAGTCTTGCTTTCTAAATGCTGGGATTAAAGCCACCACACCTGGCTTAATTTTCTTTCTTTCTTTTCTTTTCTTTTTTTTTTTTTAGGTTTTCCAAGACAGGGTCTCTCTGTGTAGAATTGACTACCTGGAAACTTGTTCTGTAGACCAGGCTGGCCTTGAACTCAAGAGATCCAACTACCTTTGCCTCCTGAGTGCTGGGACTAAAAGCGTGTGCCACCACAAAATAGCCTTGCTTTACTTTTTAAAACATTAATTTGATAAAATATCCATATCTTCAAGTTTTAATATTCTATCAAAGTTAGACCTTCAATAAAAAGGAATTAACCTTAAAAATTACTACAATGGTTTCAATTATTTCAAATAACAAAAGCATAACAAAAAACTTACATTTATATAGTTTGCATTGATGTAGTCTTCATTACCTTTTAAGAGGACCCGTGTAGCATCATCTAAAAAATGTTAAAAGAAACAATGGATTCCTTTTTTGCTTTGATATTTCAGATTAAACCACCAAAGCCTGGCACATGCTAAGCACAATGCTCTACCACTGATCCACATTCTGGCCATAAAAATTTTTAATAAAGTTTTATTTAAAAGATTAAGCTTAATGATGGTAAGAATTAAAAGATACTCACAAGGCGAAATATCTCTGTATCTATTTTTGGAAATGTTCTGAGGTAATTTGGCACAAGACATTGTCATTCCAGGTTTTTTCCGATACAGTTGCTTTAAAAACAAACAAGCGAGAAACAGTCCAGTAAGTTATCAATAATTCTGTTGATTTTGCAGACTAGCTTCTATTCTAACAGGAAACACTGTTACCCCCAACACACTACGATACTCTCTGAAGGAGTAGAGTGCTAGCCCAGAACTGTATCAGTTCTGTAGCTCTTGACATGCATTATACATCTATGATACCCTGAAAAATCTGAAAACAATTTTGTTCATCAAAGTACCTGATATTTGAATAGCAAATCTGCAGAGAACACTTGGCTTTCTTTTAGTTTAGAAGGACTCACAATATAAAAACTGAGATTTTTTTTAAAAGAAAAAAAAGATACATGTCTTATATGCTTTATTATAAGCATTTACATATAACATATACTAGAAAACAACATATAATGATGGCCATTTTTTTAAACTCATGGGAAAATTTATAGTTTTAGTAAAGATAAACAAATTAAGTTCACTATGACAAGATACTGCCATCTACAAATGTGTTGAACTGAATTTATAAAATAACTAATCTGGATGTATACAGCTTGTGGGCCACAGGCTGGACATGTCTAGTTTAAATATAGACATTCAAAAGTCACTATATACTCACTAATCAAAATAAAGGTTAGCAGTGAAGAAGTATTCTTGTACTTCTGAGATAAGGATCTGAGGGGTTTTAAGACTGTTACAAACAAAACTAGAGAAAGGCTAAATGTGACTAAATATGAACTTGAAACACCAAAGTGATTTTCTTTAACTTGAGAGTGTTGTTTATTTTTTGAGATGAGGTCTTTACTACATGTAGCCTGGGATGCCCCGAAGCTCATAGAAAATCCACTGCTGTGGATGTGAGAACAGCAAATGATGTGTGCTGTCACACCTGACTTTGCTCAAGCTTTAAGTATACAATACACTACCTTTCATAAAAGACCTAGTAAATTACAGGGAAAACCATTTAAGATGTCTTTACTACTCTTTTAAATTTTGAGAGGGGTCTCACTCAATAGCTTAGGGTGGCCAGGAGCTCACTACTGTGGACTGACCTTGAAGTCATGAACATCTTCCTGCCTCAGGTTTGCAAATGACGAGTTTACAGGTATAAGCCACTATGCCTGGCTCTTATCCTTTTTTCAAAACGACATTTATTTATATAGGCATTGTTAGAATTCTGCCCTCACTCCAGCTATATGACTGCACATGCGCAGTTCAGGAGTTAAGCAAAGGGTCTTGAGTCTTACATCAGTGTGCGCTGGCGACTACGTGCGTGTGGCATGGTCAGACAGTCAGCATATGGATGATGTAGCTGCATAAGCTCGCTTCACTGGGAGCCCTTAAAAAGCCGGATGCAGACCTCACTCTCTCTCTCTGCCCTCCCCCATCTTTCTCTCTGTCCTCCATACATGTTCTTTCCCAGGCCTGGTCTTTTTGTCCCTGCTCCCCCCTCCTCCTAATAAAGCTCTCCGCTACTAAGCAACTGGGTTCTGTCGTGACAGTGACCTTTCCCCTGGTAACCAGCGCCACCATCAGAGCTGTTTATCATTCTTTTAGGCATAATTAGTATTATGGTAATAAATTAAAAAACTACATTTTAGAACTCAATGTCAACCAGTTCTAAGGCTATCATGTTACCTTATAAATCATAATACACAGTAGGTTAGGCTCTTACCACGCTCAAACTAATTAGCACATACTGATTTAATACAATGATATCACTTACATCAAACTGTGCCAGTACTGTTCCAGTGATAAGTCCCTCAGCTAGCTGGATCATTGACTCTCGCAGGGAATGGTCATCTTGATGGACACTATCTAATGGGGCTTTCTCAGGAATATACTGGAAGTCTGGCTCACTTTCTAATTTTTCTTCCACTACATCATATACAGCTAAAAGAAAACAAAAAAACATACACAAGAATCTTAATAGAATTCAGGAAGAAATTAGCAGTTATTTTCTATAGATTCAGTTATTAATAATTCCTCTGCATCGAACTGATGCCATTGTGTAGGAACCAAGGACGGCTGTGGAGTGGAAAGGCCAAATGGTCTGGGTATATTTGGTGAAAAGAAGGGTTCTTTAGCCATATGCTTAAAATGTGAAGAGACATTAAGAAAATGAGGCTGAACTGGAGAGGGTAAGAGGACTTGCTACTCTTGCAGAGGATTTGGGTTCAGTTCCCAGCATCCACATGGCAGCTCATAACCTCCCATTAATAAGTTCCAAGGGATAGATATCCTCTTCTGACATTCTTGGGGTCCGGTGCCCATGAGATGTGCGCGCGCACGTGCACACGCACGCACGCACAAATATATCTTTACAAAAAATAAAGAAAATGCGGCAGTGTTGAGCTGCAGATCTGAATAGACCTCCCCTTAATTTCTAGGACATGGGTCAATAGCACAAACAAAAGTCTGTACACTATTATATGTATGGATATGTTGGCTTTTATCATCTGATAAGTTACATGTAAAATGAACACAAAGCTAAACAAACTTGTTCCATCCTTTCTCCTTGACTTAGTCTCTACATACACTTCATCCTCTGTTAGTATAAGGAGAGTTCAGATTCCAGATGTTGGACCTATAAATGCCAGACCTACAACTTACCGTCACTTCTCCCTCTCAGCTCCATTTTAATGAAAATTTGATTTTTGTTGTCTTTACATGTATGGGTGTTTTGCTTGAATGTGTATATGTATACCGAGTACATGCCTGGTGCCTACAGATACTAGAAGAAGGCATCAGAGCCCTTGGAACTGGAGTTACAAACCATTGTGAGCCACCATGTGGATGCTGGAAACCAAACTCTAGTCCTTTGTAAAAGCAGCAAATGCTCCTAATTGCTGAGCCATCTCCAGCTCCTTAACTCCATTCTTCAGAATGGGCTCTATTAACACACTCATGAACGGTCCATCCATATGTAAGTGTGTCTATTCTCTGCAAATGACTGCCTCTTAGCCATTTTGCTGGATTAGGAAACATCATGTAACATACTTGGGATTAAAAAAAAAAAAAAGATGATAAATCCACATTGAAAATGAGCAGAGGTCTCAGTCTAGAATCCTTTTCAAGGTTTAGCTGGGTCCTCTTGGAATTTACAGTATGAAAGAAACAACCCAAATTACAAAAAGGCCTTTGCCATGATAGAAACTTCTGTTTATATTCTGGCTCTGTGCCCAACATGAACCTGTAGGCAGGTAATTGAATGTTTGAGAATATTTTCAACTATAAGCTGAGAGTAATTTACCTATCATGTTTGCTGGCTCTGATGAATAAGTGAGAACATTAGACAACAGCCTAGATAGAAAACTTTTCAATAGCTACTAATTGTTGTCACTGAGAGCTACAGGAGCTATTGAGAACAAAAAGGCAAAACTGAGAGATTGTTATTGTTCCCAACTTGAAGCTGTGACAGAAAACACATAGTATGAAGCTTAAACAAACGAATTCCTCAAAATGAACAATCTACTAATGCCTGTTTAATATTCTTAGAAAGCCAATTCTAGGATTATACATGGAGAAGAACACAAAATACAGAAGAGGAAAGAGAATGTCTGCTTTATCCAATTTTCTTTAAAATACATCTCACTGTGACATTCTCACACATGAACACAATGGATTTCAATCATATTCATTCCTACAATAATAACTATGCTCCTCTACATTTACACTTTTAAAATACAAGTCTGTGCATAAGTACATGTCTGCTGCTGTTCACATATCTGCTGGTGGACACAGCTTCCTGCCTAACAGGGCTACTGTGATAGTGCCACAGTGACTATAAATGCAATAATGCTAGTATGTCCAGATGAGGCTTTGACATGATTAGTCCGGAGGGCATCACCTACGGAAAATATAGTTAAAACTGCTTTGTTGTTGCTTTGACTATAGCTTGATATTGGAATTTTCTATAAGTAGAACAGATTTCCTCCCCCTATTCCTCCCAAGAGAGGGTTTCTCTGTGTAGCCCTGGCTGTCCTGGAACTCACCAAGAACACACAGAGATCCATCTGCCTCTGCCTCCTGAGTGCTAGGATTAAAAGTGCGTGCTCTCACCACCTGGTGGAGTTTACTTACTCATTAAACAAATATTCACTGACTACATACCACTACTACTAGAGTGGCTGAAGAGGAAAGCCACTTTAGGTATGGTAGAATAAGCAGAGAAAGCCTTCCTGAATGAAGCAAGAACGTGAGTTACATAAAAATCAAGACTTGTTTACTGAGCAGAGCACACAGCAAGTACACAGGCCTCAAGTATATCAGGTTGGTGGAGTTTTTGGAAAACAGTACGAAAGCCACTGGGCCAACAGAAGTGAACATACTATGAATGGGAGATAAGAGAACCAAGATTTTGGATTGTTTTCTCCAAGAATGATAGACGTCACTATCATCTGAATAAGAACTCACTTGACATGCTTAAAGAAGCCTCCTCTGGCTACCAGGTCCAGTAATAAACAGTAACAAATTATGACAAATACTCAGGGCTAAATGGAGGACTTACCATTAGGTCGAACTAAAAGCACAAGTTCCCCAGAATGTCTCTCACAGCTAGCTTTAATAAACAAGACTACTTGATCATGGGTATGTTCTGCAATGTCCCGACCATTGATCAGTACCACTTGATCTCCTTCATTCAATCGAGGGACACAGAGGTCAGCCTGCAATACATTGTAGAAAAATGTTCAGATATGCACATGGTATCCTGAAAATATGGAAATTTACTTCTTATAGACTATAGCAGGAGGACTACAACTACATATAGAAAAGCATCCATGCAAGGCTAGGAAGATGGCTCAGTCAGGCAAGTGCTTGCTAGGCATGCCTAAGGGCCTGACTTCCAATACCCAGAAAGTAGATGACCATCAATGCTGCAGTGAACCTGTAACCAGTACTGGGAAGACAGAGCAGAACCCCTGGAGCTTGATGGCTAGCCACTATGCCAATCAGGGAGCTCCAGGTTCAGTGAGAGACACCATCTCAAAAACTAAGGTGATAAGGTGGAAAGTGACTGAGGAACAGGTCAGCCTCTGGTTTACACACACACACACACACACACACACACACACACACACACACACACACACACATTCAACTATTTAAAAAGCAGAAATATTCTATTTTGTTTTACAGCTTCACTGAACGAATTCCTTCCTCATGGCAGATCATGTTCATAGAGATTCAGAAAAGATGTCAAAATTCATAGATACAAGCAGCCTTTACTTTTGTACTGTTTAAATATATACAATTTTAGTTCCCACAGCTTAAATAACAGTAGTTTCTAAATGACAAAATTTTAGTTTTCAGGACACACTGTGAATTACTGCATAAAGTTAATACTGTTAGTGCTTCAGTCCAAATGATTATCTCAAAATCAAGTACTGGGGCTGGAGAGATGGCTCATTGGTTAAGAGCACTGGCTGCTCTTCCAGAGACTCAGGTTCAATTTCCAGCACCCACACTGGGTGTGGTTACAGGAGTTAAAACCGCCTAAAGCCCTCTGTAACTCCAGTTCTAAGAGGGAGTCAGATGCCCTCTTCTGGCCTCCAGAGGTACTGCAGGCATGTACTACACAGACATACATGCAAGCAAAATATCCATACATATAAAATAAAAATGAATTTCAAAAAATTTCTTAAAAGACCAAGAAGGAACACATCACACTTGTCAGTTTGTGACCAAGAAGTAAAGAACACAGATGTGCTTCTCTTTGATTCTCAGTGGAAAAACCATACAATAGTCTAAAAGAGGAACCAGCCAGAAAAGATGAAAATGAAAGCTAAGTAAAGAAACAAAATATGATAGACCCCAGAAGTGACCTTTGACCTGAGAAGACAGGATGATGGAAATGTGAGTAATTCTGCTGTCTGGAGCTCTAAGTAATCAGTTATTTTCACAACACCAAGGTGTCAAAGAACAAAACACTGGAAGCAGATCCAAACATGAAGGATTATGATACTTTGCTAATATAAGGTAAGAGACTCATTCTGTAGTCTCAGTTTTATAACGTACTATTCAAACTACTTGAGATAAGGACTCATAAATAACTGAAACACTACTTTTCAATATTTCTGATGTTTTGGACTACCGAACACATTTCTTGTGTTCCTCAATATTTTTATAACAGCACAAAAGACTTTAATAGAAAATAGATCTAAAAGTCATGAAAACAGTGTAATTTTTCCAACTGGTTACCAGTCCATCGCATGATTTCACCTTGCATGGCCATCTTTACAGTTCTGTACTACTGCAATAAAGATTGCCTGAATACTGAGAAATATCACCCAGTAATTAAGATAAAGGACACAGGGGTAGAGAGAGAGCTTGGCAGTTAAGAGCACTGACAGCTCTTTCAGAAGACAGGGTTCAATTTCCAGCACCCACATGGCAGCTTACAACTGTCTGTAATGCCAGGATTCAACACCCTCACACAGACACACATGCAGGCAAAACACCATGCACATAAAATTTAAAAAAAAAATTAATTAAAAATATAAAAGAAATAAAAGAAACGGAAATATGAATTGTAGATCCACAAGAATATATAATAGAGATTCAGCTCTGTATTAAAGCTATACTTTGACTGGCCAAGGGTCTGTCAAAAGGCAAGCCATTTATTATGAATATTTGGTATTATCCAGCCTTTAAAATTTCAGCTGTCTTCAGCTATGAAATTCAAACATACCCAGACCATTTGGCAAAAGGGTAACTAACTCCCCTGCTGAGCCTAGGAGACAAGCTGGCTGAAGCTGCATAGCTTTGTTTCTTGTGCAAATGATGTCTTGAGGCCTAGTGGTTCTCTAGAGCAACAGACTGAGTACAAAAGAGGTTTGTACATATCAAGGTGGAAGGTAGAGCAACATTCCTGAGTGGGCAGAGAAGGGAAAAGAGAATTACACAGAGGTAAAGTAGATAGTAAGGCAGAACTCTTGTAGAGTTCATCAGTGCCAGGAGTAGAGAGCAAGTAGGGATGGAGGGAGAAGAAACAGAGGATGAAGATGAGGCAGGAAGCATAAGAGCTTAGTTGTTAGCAGGACTTTGAGGGAACAGTAAAAGAGAGGCAAAGAGGAACTGAATATCAGGATGGAACTGAAGCTATGTAGACAGGATTTCATCCCAGAGAAATAAAGTAGACGGATAAAGAACTTAGTGTAGCTAGATTTATTCTTGTCCTGAATGCCTGACGGAGCTGTAGCTGAGTAGATAAAGTTTTGTCTTAGAGGAATAAAGTGTACGGAGATTTTTTCCCTCAGATATCCCACTCGGGACATAGCATTATCCCCAGACCCCTGGGTACTCCATAATGACTAACATGCTCTATGGAAACATAGGAGACCAAGCATAAAGGTGGCAGGCAGGTAGTGAAAGAAAGGCTGAGACAAAGGGGAGGAGAAATGGATCCAACTTACTGAAACTTACTGCAAACAGTTTCATAATACTCAGCCAAGTAGTGTGACCAGTGTCAAGAACACTGCTGTAAAGATTAAGCTCATCCACTGCTTATGAGATGTGTAATCTTAGAGACCAACACTCTGAGAAATGCAACAAGGAGGTACTTATCCTGATTTATGTTCTAGAGTTGTGAAGATAAAAATGAGGTTAATTCAATCAAATGTTTTTAAATCTCAAATATTCAAATGTCAACCTTATTGTTTGTTTGTGAGGTTTTTCTTGGTGGCTATTTATTCAACGAAGTAGATGGCAAACGTCTACATAGTCCTTTATGTAGGGACATGCATCTATGTATCAGTTTGATTCTATGCTTTTAAAAGTGTGTGTTTAGGATACCCACAATGAAGCAGAATGGTTGCTACAGCACTGGGAGAAATGTTACTTCAACAGAAAGAGTTGTCCTATCATATTACTCTGTTGGGTAGTATTCTGACAGAAAAGAGGAAGTGGTCTATGTATTAGAGGATAGAAGTCTTCTATGAGTCTTTTATTATACCCATCTATCACTGATGGGAACTTTCTCATATTTAACCTGCCTTTTGTCAGATATCAGTTTTTATTTGCATTTCTTTCTGATCTGAAAAGTCAAAACACCTGCATATTAGATAAATTTCATAAAAGGAACAGACGTCGATTACAAAATTTCCATACAGAAAGAAAACAATTACTTTAATGTGAGTTATCTACTTCTGAGGTACCCAACACACAATTAAAAGAAAAAGACGGACATTAAAATGCTGAACTAGGTTGGCCAGGGGGTGGGAGAGACGGTAGGGTAGGGGGTTGGGGTGGTGGCTCAAGACTTTAATCTCAGCACTCGGGAGGCAGAAGCAGGCAAATTTCTGAGTTCAAGGCCAGCCTGGTCTACAGAGTGAGTTCTAGGACTCTGTCCTGGAAACCCTGTCTTGGAAAAGCAACAGAACAAGACAAAACTTATGTTTCCTCTAATCATCTTTTTAAAAAAGGTCACAGCATGGAAGACTGTGGTGATATCTAAATTAATGAAATAATTTAAAAATGAGTAAGTTCTACTGCTTCAATATGTTTTAAATGCAACCAACATTTCAAAAGCATAATTCTACACGCAGAAGGGAGTAAGTCACCAGCAATACATACACCTCCTAAGAGCAAAGCATGTTCGAAATCATGATTCAGATAATTAAATAGGAAGAAAAAAAGAAAGTGAAAAATACCAGTAATTCCATTTTTTCCAAGAGAAAGCTTGCTAATAGTTTAGCATGTTTCCAGATAACACACCAATAAGAATTATTCAATGATGAACAGAAAATTCATCAGAAAATTCAGACCGAGGAAGCTTAATGATGAGTAACAGGGGGACTCACTGTTACAGGTTCAATGTTTTTAGAATGTACATATTAGAATTTCAAAAATAATCCCATATCATTTTCATTTAAAGTAATTTTAAGCCGGGCGGTGGTGGTGCACGCCTTTAATCCTAACACTCGGGAGGCAGGGCCAGGTGGATCTCTGAGTTTGAGGCCAGCCTGGTGTATAGAGTGAAATCCAGGACAGGCACCAAAACTATACAGAGAAACCCTGTCTCGAAAAAAAAACAAAAACAAAACAACAAAAAAAGTAATTTTAAAGCAAAAAGTAGGCAAATAATGTAAAGCAACTAGGCACAACAAAATTCTGATGAACTCCATCTTCCTCTGCATTTGCTGACTGAGGAGGTTACTTGGACAGAACCCTTTAGCACTGCAGCCAGTGATAGCTTCTTTCTAAGAGAGAGAGTCAAATAAAATCTATCTTCCCTGCAACTTAGCATTGAGATTTCACATTTGGCACTCGACAAGTTAAAAAGTAAATTTTAACTTTCTTCCTTTATTTAAGCAAATAAAAGTGATTTATTTTTATTTTATGTGTATGAGTGTTTTGATTGCATCTATGTCTATGCCCCACAAAAATGCCTGATACCTGTGGAGAGCACTGGATCTCCTTGAAGTAGAGTTACAGGCAGCTGTGAGCTACTATGTGGGTTTGGAGAATCGAGCCTGGGTCCTCTAGAAGAGCAGCCAGTGTTCTAAACAGCCAATGCATCTCAAAGATTTTTTTTTAAAGTAAAAGTAAAGTAAGGGGGTGTGGTGTGGTGTGGTGTGAAGAAATGGCTTTGTTAAAGTCCGTGCTGCTCTTCCTCCAGTTCCAAGGGATACAATGTCCTCTTCTGGTCTCCACAGGCAGCAAGCACGCATGTGGGATACACACATACAGGCAGGCAAAACACTCACACATGCAAAACTAATTCTTTTTAAAGTACAAATGGGGTTGGAGAGACAGCTTAGCAGTTAAGAGCCCTTGCTGTTCTTGTAGAGGACCCATTCCTAAGACCCACATTGTAGCTCACAACTGACCATAACTCCAGTTCCATGTGGATGCTACATTGCATTCTGACCTCTGAGGGCACCACACATACACAGAAGGTGTACAGACATACACGCAAACAAAATATTCATACACATAAAAACATTTTAGAAAGTATATTTGTCTTTTGTTTGTTTGTAGCTCTGGTTGATCTGGAAGTCTCTGTGTAGACCAGGCAAGCCTTGAACTCAATGGAGATCTACCTGCCTCTGCCTCCTGAGTGCTGGAATTAAAGACAGGCAACCATCACACATGATCCCAAAGTATATATTGTTTTTTGTTATTCGAAACAAGGTTTATTTCTCTGTGTTGCCCTGGCTGTCCTGGAACTCGCTCTGTAGACCAGGCTGGCCTCATGACTTCAAACTCACAGAGATTCGCCTGTCTCTGCCTCGCAAGTGCTAGGATTAAAAAGTATGTGCCACCACCACCTGGCCCCAAAGCATATATTCTTAAAAACAGTATGCACAAAAAATTTAGGCTAACTTACAGGTGTTCCAGGTGCTACTCGGGACACAATTACAGGCATCTTCTGATCATATCCTCCCTGGAAAACACAAAGAAAGTTAAATACTACCAAACTAAGAACATCCTAATATAAAAACTAATTATGACAAATTCCAGATTACCTTTACATTGAACCCAAACCTTCCATTTTCATCTGGTTTCATTTTGATAAGAACAAGATTATCATGTGGAATTCCACCATTAGGCTTGAAAAGACAAAAATAAAGAATTTTCAGATTATAAATAAAGTATATATTATATCTGCTTGTATTATCTATGGTATGCAAATAAATAAAATTCTAAGAAAAATGTTAACTGAGGAAAATAAGTTTCTTTGACTAATAACTTGAAGATACAGTCTCTCATTCTTCCTTCCATTCTACTGGCAAGAACACTGGCAAACGGGAAATATTTGTCATCTCCCGTTCCTTTCATTTATGTAATACTAGTCAGATTTTCATCTCCACTATTCCATGACTAGATTAAGACAACAAATATTTTCCCATTGCTAAATCCAGAGTTAAGTCTCAATCCTTATCTTATTGAATTACCTGTAGCATTTAACAAGAGTGATCATTTTCTCTTTGGGTTCCTTTATTACATCCTGTTGCCTACTTTTCCTTCTATTCTGCCTGCATATTCTCCGTCTCCTTTAATCTTCCTTATTCTTATAATTTGGTGGACTGGAGGCTCAGTTTCTAGAGCCTTTATTTAGGTAACTACACACATTTCTTGATGATTCTCTAGTTTGTGTTTTTTAAATATTCATATATATGTGTGCATGCACGGTTGTGTGTGCAGGTGCACATGTGTGTGCAGATGTGTGGGAACCTAACTGTGGAGGCTAGAGGGCAAATTTGGGCAGTACTCCTCAGGTGCTGTCCATCTTGCCTTTTGAGAGCATCTCTCACTGCAACCAGGGACTTAGCATGTAGGGCTACGCTGGCTGACCAATGAGCCCCCAAGGCTCCACCTGTCTATACATTCTGAGTGCCTGTGTAGCCATCATTTAACCAACTAAGCTATCTTCTGGCCTTTACTAAAGATTTTTTAAAGAAACAAACCAGACTGTAAGTTATATAATAACAACTGCCATGTGTTAATTGTCTTTGCATACCCACTACCATCAAAATACAAGTTCAGTAACCATGACTAAATCAATGCATGCAAGAAGAGACACATAAACATCACCATAGAGTTAGTACTAGAGCTGTCATTTTTGGTAAGAATTCTGATCTCTTTTGATTAAATCTATTGTAGTGGAACAGTACATGTGAAAAATGGAAGGGTTTCAACTTTTGGTAATGGGAGAAGCTCTGAGTAAATAAACAAGGCAGGGAGTGCAGTAATCAAAGGCCTCTGACACCAGATGCTGAAGCCTACGATGGACTTTCCATTTTGCATCTTATTTAATTTCCTAATGTCTCTTTACATTTCCTGAAACATATCTACATATAACTGTGCTTGCTTTTTTAGGAACACAGTGTATTCTTAAACTGGTAATCTCACTTATGGCTTATTTAAATCTTAAGAAAGTAATTAATAAACCATTAAGATTCTAACAACTCATCATTTTATTGTATAAAAGCATATTCTGGAGAAGCAAAAGTTATAAATTATTTTGTAAGTTGTAGAATGCACATACACTATTAGATTTGTAACAAATTTTAAAACGTTGGGGGATATATCTGCACTAAGAAATTACATATTAAAACAAGTATTGACTGAATTATTAGAATTTGTTCTGGAAGTATATGTATATTTTGTATACTGAAATTAACACCAAGTTGTTAAGACATTAACTCAAAGCAATGGGCACTTTACAAAGAAAAAGATAATACCATAATGGTGTAAATCATGATCCAAGAATCAGAAAAAAAGACAAAGTACTATAATTTACAACTAAAACATGCTATGGTTCAAAATAAAACTGCATTCAGGCTTTTAAAAGTTCCAGAGTGAGGCTACCTACAGTGGACTTTTCAGGGGAGGAGGGCACATCAAAGGTTTCATTAGTATGGTTTACTAGATCTTGCTGAGAGTGGGAAAAATGAATTTGGTTCCAACTGTTTTTCTTAGATTGTTTGGGTGGTAAAGCTGGAGGCTGCCCATCTTCAGGGGTCTCTTGTGATCTAGGTAAGAAAAGGGGGGAAGAAATGAATATTTTTTGTAATCATCTGATGGAAATATCTTATTTAAATTAGGTCAAGCAATCCAGATACCAACCATGTCTAGTGTAGAAAGGCTTTGAATATATTTACTTGGAAATGCAACTTTTTAATAAAAAAAATTTTAAATTATAAATCTGCTTTTAATCAACCAATAAGCAATTTTTGAATACCTTAAAGGTATTCATTCCTATGAAGATATTTATTAATTTACTGTAATAATGTACACACCTTTCCAAAACAGTGTTTGTTTGTTTGTTTGTTTAATGTTTTCAATGGAGGCATGGGTAGCCAGAGAGTATTGTAGGCAAAGAGAAGCCAAAATAGAATTTCGGAAGGTAAGCCTTTATTCCTGTGGACACCATGTACTTCAGACCCATGGCCCAGAGGCTCCCTGAGCTGGAACTAACTTCATGCCTCCTCACTGAGGAAGAGCTTTCATGGTTCAAGAAAGCTCTAAGCAGTCTTCCAAAGGAGGAAGGCAACAACCAGTCCTACCTAACTATAGCACCCGTGAACCACAACCACCAGCAAGGCACAATAATCCCTAAGGGTATATAGTGGCATACATCTTAGTAGTAACCAACAGCTTTCTAATTGGACTTATGATCCACTCAACAAGAGAGAAATCGTGCTTGGTACTGGGAAGCTAGTCAATTACCTAGGGCTACTAGACTCATGGATCTTGGACAAGAACTTATAACCACTACTTTACTAAACTAGCATAATCCCGAAATACACTCTAAATATTTGTCCTTATACAAACAGATAGGTGTAGTTCTCACTCATCAAAAAACTCTTTGTAACAGATGGAGACCGTTACAAAAAATCTAACCAATTAAAATGCAGAGCTGTAGAGTCCAGTCCCAGTGGATACATCTACGTAATAACTTCTGTACCTAAGGCTCAGGGAACATTGCAGAAAAGGGAGTAGAAAGAGCCAGAGAGTTCTGTGAGACTGTATCTCCTAGGAATATCAGAAGCCACACTCACCAACATGGCTGCCTGTACATGAGCTAAACAAGGACAACAACAACAGACATCCAAAGGGCATGGGGAAAAGCTCACAAGGCCTGAACTCTACACAAAGAACTACAGATAACTAAGGAATGTTGTGAGTGGGAGTAATACTCTTCCAGGGACAAGCACACCAGTTATTTATCCAATATCAACGGTCAGCCCTGAAAACATACAGACCAGTTACAGACAGTGTGGGAGATATATATACACACACACACACACATATTATATATATATATATATATGCATAATATATATATATGCATAATATATACATATATTATATATGGACACATACACATTATATATACACAATACACATATATATATTATATATATGGACACATACACACATATGTAACAATTAATGAAAAAAGAGACCATGGATTGGAAAGAGCAAGGGGGGAATTTATGGGAGGGTTTTTAGGGAGGAAAGGGAGGGAGAAATCATGAACTTATATTATAGGATCAAAATAAAAGATCAAAACAAAACAAAACAAAACTCTGAGAATTGGATGTTGAACAGAAAAAACCTCCTGGTAGGTATAGTCTAATGACCTTAAATTACTGTCCTCCTTTACCATGGCTCATGAGGTTAATAAATGCAATCATGGGACAGAGACTAGAGTATTAAGGTCATCATTGAAGAGAGAAAACTTCATAGAATCTTGTCAGATGAGAAGACAACAACTTATAAACATTAAAAGCTCTCTAATTTGTGGCAACAAGAATTGATAGCTACATATTCAGCAAGAGATTTCAAGGTAGAAATCACTTTTAAGAACCAATAGTCTATAGAACCTAACTTGTGATTTTCCACAAGGGCCTTCCAGAAGGAAGAACCAATGTTCAACTTTTATCCTACTATGCTGGCATCCATGAAAGTAAGCTTGGAAAAAAGACAGCAGGAATGGGAATCTTTTTTCCTCTTAAAACTTGCATATATTGCCGGGCGGTGGTGGCACACGCCTTTAATCCCAGCACTCGGGAGGCAGAGGCAGGTGGATCTCTGTGAGTTAGAGGTCAGCCTGGGCTACCAAGTGAGTTCCAGGAAAGGCGCAAAAGCTACACAGAGAAACCCTGTCTCAAAAAACCAAAAAAAAAAAAAAAACTTGCATATATTAAATGCAAAAATTTAATGGATCAAAAGTTTTACTGTGCTGTTTTTGTATATACAATGTATATTATGTATTTTTCTCACATTGTTCTCCACTATCCTCTTTTGTCCTAATGTCCTCCTTGGCTTTAGTCCTTTCTCAACAGTTTCCTTTTAAATTAAGATTCCACACATGACAGAAAACTTATTTCTCTTCTTTGGTCTGGCTGATTTAACATGATGATCTCTAGTTCTATCCAAATCCCTACAAACATGATTTTTTCCTATGGCTGAATAATCAATACTTCATTGTATCTATAGTCTACATATCCTATATGTTCAATATATCTATATTGTTTATCCATTCTTATGATGGGCGCCTTGGCTGATGCCATAATTCAGCTACTGTGAATACCCGCAGTGAACGTGGGTCAGTAGTTATCGTTAGTGTACGATGACACTGGTTCCCAGGAGTACTAAGGGTGAATCATATGGTAACTGTATCTCCAGGTTTTCTGAGGATCATCTGATTTCTGCAGCAGTCACACTATGTCACGTTGCCGTCAACAGCACACAAGGGTTCTTTTACACAACCTCCGCATTGCCAGCACTTGTTTGCTCTTTTTATCATAATCATTCTGATCGGGATGAAATGGAGTATCAGTAGAGTTTTGGGTTGTACTCCCCCGATGGCTTACTATGTTGTTGAATTTTTTTCATGTGTTTATGGGCCATTTGTACTCAAGGATTAGAGTAGCAACATAACTTTATTCAGAGTGAAAAGATAGGTCAGGTGATGATCAAGAGTGAAAACAGGCCATATGAATGAAAGTACTCAAGGGTCTGTAATTCTTTTTAAGAACTATTGGGTCAGTTTATCTGCCTATTCATTACTAGATTATTTGTTCCTTTGGTTTTGTTTGAGTTCGTTATTTGTTCGGAATACTGATCCATTTGATGATTATCTGCAAAGATTTTCCTCCCATTCCATAGGCTGTCTCTTCACTCTGAAAATTGTTTCTTTGCTGAACAGAACTTCTTAATTTGATGCAATTCTGTTTGTCAATTGTTGCCGTCCTATTCTCCTGAACTATTGGAGTGCGATTCAGAAACGTGCTGTCCACACTTGTCTGAAGTGCTTGCCATTGGTCTTCTGCCATTAGTTTCAGATCTTATATTAAGGTCTTTGATGTATTTTGAGTTGATTTTGTACAGAGTGAGACCAAGAGAACTAGTTTCAGTCTTTTACATGTGAATTTCCAGTTTCCCCAGCATGATAAAAAAAATGAGTTTTTGTTTTGTTTTGTTTTTCTTTTTTTTCTGTTTTTGGTTTTTTTTTTTTTTTT